AAAAAAAATTTGTAATTCAGGTTACTTCATGTTCCTTGCTTTCCACAAATCTGAAACATAACTTAATTAACTGATTTATAATTAATGACTTTGATGATGCACCACTATGTTATTTTGGCATGTAATTCTAGAGGATTTCAAAGAATTGAGTGATGTTGTTAAAATAGAGCCCCATTCATTCTTATCAATTTATACATATAAACAAGTTTCTTTACTATTTCAAGTAATAAAATGAAAAATATCAGTAGGATTAACTGTAAACTGTCATATTCTAGCAATAATTTATCTGTGGATAAGATTAGTAATTGAAAAAAATAACTATTAATCTCATTGAGATAATGCATTTTGAATAAATCAATTTTATGTTAAAATTACTTAAAACTTTTTAATGTTTATGCTAAGATCAATCATGTACTAATGACAATTATAATGCAAGTCAATCTAGAGGAAAACAATTTAATAAAAGCTTATATAACAAAATGTTTATTTTTATTATATGTATATATTTTGTGACAGAACTGAGATGGTCTGTTTAATAAAAAAGCATTAAGCATAAACTAATATTATATTAACATGCAGTTTAGTGACTGAGTGAAATGGAAATATGAGTTCAAAATGAAAAAAAGATTTCTGAATGTTATAAAAGAGTTTATTTATGTATATTTTAAATGGTTGACAAGGATTTCAAGTTATTACACTCAGGAAAAAAGAAAAATAGGAGATGTCTCTCCTACAAGGATTTATCCTGAGCTTGCTTACAGAGTGCTGGGGGTCTGGTAATTTATATCCATATACTGCATTCACTTTCTTGTCTCTGATCACAAATGCCTGTAAGAAAACTTCCACTAGAGTATCTGGCATACCTTCTGAAAATTTACCTGTGTTTTGTTTGTGTTTCTGAAATCTTTGGAGCTGATCACTTTAATCTTTTTGTGTTTGGTTATGTTATGAGAAACAGATATAAAGATGTTATTTTTCCAAATTGATAGTCACTTATCCCAACACTGTTTTATAAACAAATATTTTAACTGTCACTGCTTCATCAAATCCTGTATTTCCTCAAGAATTTGTTTCTGTACTTTCTGTTTTGTTCCATTGATCTGTTTGTGTTGTGCTATGACTGAATGTTTTATTTATAATCTTTATAGAATATGTTCAAATTTAACTGGTAGAGCAACTACCCCATTATAATGTTTCTTCAAAATTTATGTATTTAATCTCCCAGATTAAATTTAGAATCATTTTTTCAACTTAAAAAAATTACCTTGGAATTGCAATTTGCATTGCATTAAATTTATGTCACTGGTATATCTCTCTTGGCTCAGTGGAACTGTTAACTACTACTGAAAATAAGTTCCTTGGCTTCTCAACTTGGAGCTGGCTACCAGGAGCAACAACTTTATCTCAAATTATTACAGGGAATATGGACCAGTTGGACTTGTAGTTTTCATTGCTTTGTGTGTTGGGGGATGGATAATTGAAACCATGGGTTATTTTGTCTAACCATATGTTTTTATATATATCTTTTGAGATTGGAAGTCTTGCAAACTTTTTTGTTGATTCTTAGATTAGCTGTTTATTGAGGTCTCTCCATCACCTCCAATTGGAATTTCAGGAACTCTTTAGTCTATATTCCAGGGAAAGCCATCAGTCAAGGTTTTATTGGGTGACAGAAACTTAACTGTACTGTATTTGTGTAGATTTGAAGAGAGGTCAGCTCTTTTACACAGTGATTCTTTTTTCTAGGAATATGATCTCTCTCTACTTATACAGGCCATGTTTTAGGTTTTTAAGTAGAAATTTATTATTTCTTCATAAAAGTCTTGCTGATTAAGTTTATGTTATTCTTATTTATTTTATTTGTATTGTGAATAAAACACTTTTATATTACCTTTTTTCAAAAGCCAGTCATTTCTGATAATATTATAAACCAAAGGGATAGAGCAGGGTGTGGTATAGAGTACAGTGTATTTTGTCTTGCATCTTGCTGAGTTTTCTAGTAAGTTTGACTACTATATTAGTTAATGTACCTATATTTCCTATTTATTGTTAATGATAATAACAGTGATTATTATCATTTGTATTAACTTTCCTTATTCAAATGACTAAATTCTCTAATTTTATCACTATATTCATTAGAAGAATAATGTGAATAATAATTGGTGATTTGGGTTATTGATTCCTTGTTCACTCTTAATAAAGGGTTTCTTATTGATTCCTGACAGTCTGTAACGGATTAAAGGTATTTTCTCCTATTTTAGTTTGTCACATGATCTTTTTTTTTCTTAAAAACCAAGAATGCATACCTACTGTTTCCAGTTCTTTTTTAGCATCTAAAGATATCTTTGTACATTTTTATCTTTTAACCTAATAATATATTAAATTAAGTTAATAGATGTTCTAAAACATTCTTGATTTTTATTTCATAAATAATTTTCACTTTCATCTTTGCATATTTCTTTTATTTTCATTTGATATATTGTTATTGTTTCTTCCAACATTGAATATTTAGTTTATCTTGTAATCTTTCTTATTTTCTCATAAAACATTAAGACAATTTTCTTCTGAAAAATTTCAGCTCCATCACATTTTATATGTTTTATTCCCATTTTCAGTCAATTCTAATAGTTTATGTCTTGATTTCCTATTTAGCCCAAACAATATTTAGAAACAAAAAATTATTTTTATTTTCAATCTGCCTTTTTTCATCCCTGCCTCATTCTCTTTCTCCCTTCCTTCTTTCCTTCCATCGTTCCTTCCATCAATTCCACTAATTCCACAAGTACCTCTTTCCAAAACTGAAAGTGTGTGTTTCATATTTTTATTTTTGGCTTTATTATGTCATTACATTTTTAACAGCATACCCAAAACATTGCTATAATGACAAATACTGTGGCTTACTCAGTCAATAGCTATACTCTAGTCTTGCTAACTAACAAAACATTAACTTTGTTTTGACTCCAATGTTCCTAGTCTAAGAAGATTAGTTGCCATTGGTCTTGATCATTCAAGCCAATCTTCTTCTCTGAGACAGATTCTTGCTTTCATAACTGTCCTTATAGCTACAGGTGAGCATGTGACACAGTTCTGTCCAAAGAGCTATAATCAGAGGTCTCCTGAGGGAGCTCTGGGAAAGGGATTTCCTCTTAGATAATAGTGGATAGGCAGGTGAAAATATCTCTTGCCTCTCCTAGATTGAATGAAATCTTCTGAATATGTGACTGCTGCAGCTGTAGCAATATCATTTGATATCTTAAGGAAAAACAAGAAAACTGAAGGAATATTGTAGAAGGAATTAGGTGTTCCACACTGTACAACAGGCTTTCTGAATTTTAGCTGTACTCATGGCTGCTTGAAATAAAGCTAATGTGTACCAGCTTTTCTTGATGCTGTCAAGTCATTAAGTTCTGACCAAAGATATGCAAATTCTGGTAGTTCCTTTCTCTGTCTTTTCTCTTCTTGTTGTCTAGAATACAGATAATATGGCTCTAGCTAAAGCAATCCTTCTATACTATAAGGTGAATTGGGAATGGAACTCATACAAAAATGGTGCAACAAGATAGAAAAAGGCCATATCTCCAATTCTTTGGAGCATCTTTCTGGCCATGGATCTTGCACTTGAGTTTTCATGGAATAAATAAACTTCTATGTTTTGACCATTATTTTAATTTGAAGTCTCTGTCCCTTAATTCCAAAACTAATCTTAACTAATACTGCTGCTAATCAGATTCCTGATCTTTTGAGTAACATAATGGAAAGAGTAACTGCTCAATTTCAGGTTCTCATTAGGTAAAATAATAAATATTTTCTTGCTTCTTTGTTGGCTTCTCTGTGACTTGCAGACAAATCATTCACCATGATTAAAAACTAATATCCATAGATTTTGATAATTAGTACTGTCTGTATTAAGTTTTCTATGTGAGAAAAAGCACTATGCCAATAACTTAGATGTGATTCTGCTGGGATACATTCTAAAGCAACATCATACTTACTGACCTACGTTGCTGATTTTCATAGGCAAAGCTTTCAAAGAGAATAATCCTCCTCACAAAATAGTATTTAAACTTCCATATTTTGTAGCTGTATTACACATTTTTCAGCATGATAGGATAATTTCCGTTCAATTTCATACTTGACTTTATATGTGTATGTGTCTACTTATCTATGTGTTTGAATTCTAATATTCAAAATTCTATTTCCAGTCAGTTATGCCCTTCATCACAATATAGCCCAGATGAAAAGCGCTTAATTTTTCTTGCTCAAGCAGCTATGTTTAAATGGCATAAATAAATGCTGTGATCCAAATGTAGAGCATTCTTTTGAGCCACTCTATATTATGAAGATTATGACTAAGTGGATTGAGTTTAGAAAGTTAACATGCATAAATTTAATCCTTAATTAATCTCATAAAGAATATTCCAGGCACAATGAGTGGCATGAGGAAGACAGTTATTCAGAAAAGAAAAAGGTTGTTTCCTTTTCAGCTGGTTTGTATTTCAGGGACATTCTGTGTCTTTAAATTGCCAGCCTCACTACTACTTGAATATCTTGGAGCTGCGTATGTGAACACAGTCAACTCTTTCATTGCCTTGAGCATTGCTGGAGGATATTCAAGCTATTTGCTGATCTCTAGCTCTGTTTTAACCAAACTATATTTTATAAAGCGTCCCTAGGCTCAACTATGAGGCATGTTTATGCCTCCTTTGACTGACGCTTCCAGCCTTAGCCCTTAGTGATTTGGTAACATTTTAAATCCCTGCCTAAATTGTTTCACTACTAGATAACCAGTGTGAAGAGCTGCCAAATATTTGTATTCCTTTCTTTGTGGCCAAGAATTGATTTAATGGTTCCTGAGAGAATTGTATTGTTTGATGGCTCTCCCCATTCTGATGCCTGCTTTCTGTGGTTTCACGGAAGACTTAGTATCTTTGAAGTCAGGCCTCCTCTACCTATCCTTCTAATCCTACTTCCTCCCTTTTTTTTTTTTTTTCCTTTCTCAGAACATGGAATTAAATGTCAACCACACTTGATTTGGAAACTAAGCCTTTCTCATGTTTGACTTATGCTGGGATACTGACATCTGAGCCACGAGTTCCATGAAATGCACTTTGGGATACGTAAATAAAGTTGTGATGTAACAGTGCCAGCACATAGTGGTAAGTACATAAAGTTCAGGTTCTTCACTTCCCTTTTATCCACATTGCAGTTATAATTAGTCTTTTTGTATTGAAGGATTCATTCGTGAGAGATTTTTAATAACAAACACAGTTTTTAGTCAACATTTATTTTCTATCTGTAGTGATATTTAATCAAGTATTTGTTTCTCTTCCCTTTATTTCTGAATTACCTGCTTGTTAACTCAGAACTTTCCAGATTATTTGGACAGTTATGTATTTTTTAAACTAATAATGCATTGTAGAAATAGAGTGATATCAATTTATTACATTGGGGTGGTTACATGCATTTTGGAATTTGTTGAATATTATCTATTTTGATGGCAAAACCAATTATCAGTACTTTATAAAAATCAATTTGAAGCTTTTAAGCTTGTATTCAAGGTGACTGTATCTCAAAATACAGATAATATTTTATGTTCAGATTGTGTCAAGAACATTTCTTTTGCTTCCCTTAAGCTTTAAACATTGTTTTATATAAAGCCTATGAGATGGGCCCTTTATTATTTCAATGAATTGCACTAGTTTTCTAATACTCTGAGGATTAAGCTTAAGCAATAAATCTTTGTATTTAACATGTCCCCACAATTACCTTAATCTCACCTGGACTTTTGTATTTGCACTTTAAAATTCAAAATCTTTTAGTTCCCTAGCAATATTGTTCTAGTTTTACATGCAGGGAAATATTTCTCTAAATTCTTGTGGGAACCAGAATATTCTCTTAGCAGTTAGCCGTGTATGCTATATCAGCCACTGTACATTGGATTTGTGAGTTGAGACTTAATAAATCCAGAACCTAGAAATTGTTCTGAGAAATCTGAGAAATCCCAATGGTAAGCATCTCAGTAGTTTTAGAGACAGTAAAAGTAATAAACTTCTAGGAATAAGAGAAATTAATTGTAAATGTTTTGAAAATTTAAAACATCTTTCATTAATCATTATTCAAAGAGACTATTGAAGGATCTAGTCCACTGAAAATAAAAATGGGACTTCTGTTTCCACTTGGGATATAGAGAGAGTTGCAAGAGGACGTTCCTCCACTTTAGCAAGAAGAAACTGAAAGTCATAGTTTCGGAAGCTCCTTAGAGATATGAGCATGTAAAGTAATTAGCTTGACTTAGAAGAGAATTGATCCATGGCTGCTTTTTTGTCTGGTGAAACAGCAGGAGGAGGAAGAAGTCATCATAGCTGTGACTCAGGAGAAAACAGATACTTTTTATAATAAGATGTTAAAGATTGATGGGCTGGTATGACAGTTTAGAATCCCAGGGAGGCAGAGACAAAGAAAATTTGCAACTACCTGCCAAATCTGTTCCACGAGCTTCGTTGAGCATTCAGGAGAAAATTGGGAGCTACAAGGGAGAGCTGAGACAGATTGCACGAGAGATTCAGGTATGCAGGGAATGCTGAAGTTTGAGGGAAAGACAATGGAATTGAGGGAAGCCCCGAGGCACTTCAGATGCTCATTATGTGGTGATGTGATGGGCCTGCTAAATTGTGAAGGCAGGAAAGGAGAATTGAGAAAGCCCCTGACAGCTACCCTTAAGGCGCAGGTGCACAGAGACTCCCCAGGTCTGAGAATCATGCAGAAGAATAGAGGGAACCCCCATAGACACTCTGGGTCTTATAATGACGGTGAGGCAGAAGTCATATGTGGCTGGGTGTGGGAAAGAGATGAGATAAAACTCTCCAAGGTGCATTAGCACGGGACCTCTTGAAGTCTGAGGACAGGGAAACAGGATGGTGTAGGCATTCAGACCCCAAGTCTGCTACAAGAAAGGATCTGAATTTACCCTCAGATAATGTGGAACCTCAGTGAACTAAATCTAACTAAAGCAACTACAGATTCTGCACAAGCTCAACCACAAACATGTTTGACTCAGAAGAAGGGACATGCTTGTTTGTTTCTAGGTATAAATATTGTCTACTTCAGTCTCTTCTTTTTGTACAGTTTTCTGGCATTTAAGATAAATTTATTAGACACAGAAGAAACAAGACCCACAATCAACAATGAAGCAGTCAGGAGATGTTGAAATTATCAATCACTGATTTAAAAATAGCCATTATAAAAATGTTTAAAGATCTCATTGAAAAGACCAGCTATTTTAAAGTAACTATGACAGATATGTTAAAGGACCTGGGCCAAAAGGCAGATAACAGCAAGAATGAACAGATGAGATGTATTATAAGAAGGATAGATATTATAAAAGAATAGTCAAATATAAATACCTGAAATGAAAAATATGGTAACAGAAATGAAGAATTCTTCTGAAGAGCTTGTCAGCAGACTGGGCACAGCAGAGAATAGAATCAGTGTCCTTAAATATAGGTCAAAGAAAGTGTCCAAATTTAAATAGCAAAAATCAAAACTAAATGAAAGAGAACAGAGCTTGCAAGATTTATGGGACAATATAAAATGGTCTAACACATCTATTTGGAGTCCAAGAAGAAGTAAGAATCTAGCAGAAGATCTACTTACTGCAATAATAGCATAATTTTTTGCAAAATTGATAAGATATTAATTCAGAAGTTAACAATCATATTTATGATGAAACTAGATATAGACTCATCATAGTCAAACTGTGGAAAACCAAAGAAGAAAATAGTGAAAACATCTAAAGAGAAAAAAACGACATTACATGCAGTGGAACATGAAGAGTACTGCTGATTTCTTACCAGAAATGATTGAACCCGGATGTTGGAATGGCATCCTTTTAGTGTTGGAAAATAAATATCACGCACCAAGTTTTCTGTATTTAAATGGTATATCCTTTCAAAACAAAGCTAAAATAAAGACATGTTCAGATTAGCAAAAGCTTAAAGAATTCAAGTGATACAAACCTGCACAAGAAATGCTAAAAGTTCTTCAGCCTATAGAAAATAAATGAAGAATACCAGAAGAAGAAAATATGTGAATAAATGTATTTCTATCTACATCTATTTCTGTGTTTTTATCTGTATCCATATCAATACCTGTCTGTTTAAATACTTTTTAGACACTATTGACTGAAGTAAAATAGCAGCAGTGGATTGTGAGATCTATAGGATATGTAGAATTAAATATATGATGAGGACACAAAAAACATGAGGGTGGTAATTTGAAGTACACTGTTATAAGATTCTTGTGTTGTTTAAATAGTAGTAGATTGTTTTTAAAGGTAGACTTGATAAATTAAAAATACATTAGGGAAACCACAAAAAAAGAACAGAGACATGACTAAAAAGTCAATGGAGGAAATAAATGGAATACTAAAAATATCAATTCACTCTAGTGATGCCAGGAAAAGATGAAGAGTGTAAGAAAGAGCAGACAGGCAAACAGAAAACAAATGCCATTTTCGTAGACTTAAACCCAAACATATCAATTATTACATTAAAAGTAAATGTCATTTGGTTCTTCCAGAAAATTTACCCAGGACAGAGTTAGAAGCTCAAAATATTTACTCTTGTAACACCTGTGAATGATAAAAGGGAGAGTTATCAGGAATAAGTAAGCAAAGGCTTCATATTGCCAATGTATATTCAATAAATTCAACACCAGTAAAGAAAATGGATTGTGTAAAAAGAGCTTCAGATTGTGAAGTATCATTTTCTTCACATCGTATTAAAAGCACATGCAACCATGGCTTATTGTTGGTGATGCAGAACTTTATCACCTGGCCAAAGTAACATTTGACAGATTTTTCCACCCAAAAGGCACTCCCCCACTCTTCCATACTTTACTTTTTTGAAAGCAAGTCACTAGTTGGTACAATCCACATTCAAGGGTGTAGGCAAATTAAGCTCCATCTTCTTGAGGGAAGAATAGCTACATAAATTATTTGTAATTCTTAGGTAAAGTAGGTTTGCCTCTTCTTTCCCATTTATTTATTCATTCAGTTATTTCTATTAATATGGACTCATGGATATTTATTTTATACTTTGTGTTATACTTTAATACTACGTTATTTTATTGCTCAAATTGTTCTAGCTTTGGCCCTGACAGCTGTTTCAGTTAGGTTCTGGTGTCCCTTTGGACTTCACCAATCCTTCTTTTGTTTGTTTGTTTTGTGTTTTAATAATTTACTCACTTTCTAGCACTATAAGATCTCCGGGTTCATTTTGTATATTCCCTGCCCCATCCCTAGATTAAGCCATTTCTCCCAGGAGCCATGATACCTTTTACTGGAGAATGGTCTTAGAAACAAAGATCTGAGAGCTGGGTAGGCTCAACTTTCTGGCATTGTTGCCTCTAGGACCACTCACATGACAGCACGAGGGAATATAGGAATGTATACTAACTCGTGTATGCACAAACATCTATAATCACTTATCTATCTATACAGATAGATGTCTATATCTGTATCAGTATATCTCTGTTGAACTAAACATGAGTTCATATAGCTGTCTCTGACTCTAATCCATTACCACATTATTCACATTGGCCCCCTTCTCCTTGCCTACATGTGAATTTCCCTTCTAATAGTAATAAACCTAGCTCACAGCATTCGCCATCTATGTACTTATTTCTTTAATTGTACTATGCATATGCAGCTTTTTCAGACTAGTTAACCCACGACCCTGTGAGTAATAACTAGAATACAGTGTTTAGTTTGGATGGAAGGACTTACCATTGAAAAAAATAGATGCTATGCTTTAAATAATTTTATCTGGACATACATTTAAAAAACAATGTTTCTAAAGTTGGAAACATTTTCAAACATTAAGTGAGATAAGTCACCCAATAAATCAAATAATCAAAAATTAAATCAGGAAGTAATTCACAATCTACTCTGTAAAGGCTTTGTCTTGCTGTACTATGAATAACAAAAGGCATAAAATATATCTCTGGTACCCAAAAGCTCATATTCTAACTGAGGAGATAAAAGATACATAAAAAGAAAGGTATTGTTGGTGGCACACAATTAGTAAGTACTCCATGATCTGTGTACGCAAGTGCTACAGAGATACAAT